AACGGGAAAAGCCGCGAGAAAAACACGACCTTTCTACCAATTCTACCAATTCACCAATTCCAGATTCTTCCCCACTTCCTACCACTTTTCCAGAATTTCCCGAGCTTTTTCCCGAAAATTTTGCTGTCGAGAAAACCACGAAAAGTCAACCATCTCTCCAAGAAGGCCAAAAAGTACATACGACCCCCTCCCAGTAACAAGCAAGTACGGAACTTCCTTTCTACAACGTCCGTGAAGCGAGAAAAATCAACTATCAAAATAAATTTTTCCCAGCCCAAATACGACCCCCTCTTTGGCGACCAAATACGACCCCCTCCCCTATTGGGGATTCCCCAACAACGATGTGCCCTGGTTACTCGTCGGATATTTCATCTCAAGGCAATTGTCACCTTGTTCTGTGTTAGACAAAGACATGATCACAATTGTCTCAAAATGAAAATGTTTTACCGAAAGCAGTACCACCGCAGCTTCCGCCACGTTTAGTCGAGCTTTGCAGCCACGCCTACCGCATCTCAGAGATTTCGAGGTACGCAAAGACACATTCCACTAATGAGCGATCGATTACGGACTCAAAATGACGGAGGGGATGTTAGATTGCTTGTCAATGGGAAAAAAGCGAAGAGAACCCTATTCAGGTTTGCGTCTTTCGCCTAATACCAGTAGCGTGGACTCGACGGCTGAGATCATGACATGCCACGTCTCACTTCTTCATGAATTTGTGGAATACTACCAAGACGTCGACATGGTCGGCTTGACGGCTTTGAAGACGGGCACACTGCGTGATTACTGATGAGAATCAAAACTCTCTATGAGGAAGGTTAGCCTCAATGGGAAACTTCCGGTGAGACGGTTACTAGAAGAGGAAGTTAAAGACAAACTCCGCTGCATGTATCCTGGTCCTTGCCGTCATTGGAAAGAATGGCTCTACACTTGCAGCACCGTACCAACTTTTCTGGTCCAGCGTGCCAACTTTTCAGGTCAAACGTGTACAAAAACAGGGCTGGTGGGTAGTGATAACCGGCTGCCGTCCGTCCGTGCTGCTGCACGGATAGCCACACGCCTAACCATAACCGAACGCGCTACTCGTCCGTGCCCTCTCACTTCTGTCTCTTAACACTGAGTGCGTGCATTGCTGCGGGAGCTTGGTATCAGCGCAAGTGCTCCACTTTGAGGATAGCGCAAGCGGAACATGGAACAACATTCTGGTCATCCTACCCTATAGCAACTTTCCCGTGCACTTTGAGTGGAGAAAGTGGCACGCTACAGCGGCTGCGGACTCATTCGCCTCGCACATGAAGTATCGCCTTCGAAAGTGGGTGTACAGTTTGTCTTCAAGGAGATACGACTAAGGAGATAAAACATTCGGCTCAGTTATCCAATCCCATTCGGCTCAGTTAAATCCCATTCGACGGACTCATGTAATCTGCTCAGACGATAAGCAACTAACGCGTACGAAAAACAAGCGGATTAGGAAAAAGTTGACAGCGGCCTTCACACCACAGAGATAAGCGGTACTCCTGGCCGTTAAACTGCTTCCTCTTTCTTTTTTTTCCCTCCAACCGTTCCATTACTTTTACGCCAGCTCTTAGGGCGAAGCCCCACCCGACAAGTAGCTAGGCTAGCACTTTTGAAGCGCATATGAGAAAAAAGGAGCAAGCAAAACATAAGCACTCTCGAATACTGTTGAAATGTTGGAAGAACCTTCTTCTGTACAATAGGATGCTTCTAGGGCTCTTAATAAGCCGCGATGTAAACAAACATGGAAACTCACGAGGACAAGAGTCACTCATTGAATTACGCAGTGCCGTCAAAGAGTGAGGCGTCGAAGGGCAACCGCTTGGTATTCAGGTACTGGTAATGCTTGTTAGCAAGAAGACAGATATTATCCAGCGAACAGCAAGAATTGGAAGTGAAAAGCCTGAAAGGGAGGCAAACTCCAGCATGCTTTTGTCTATCGCACATATACACATCTAATGTACCTATTTCACCGTTTGATCCACCTATTAGGTACGAAAACCTCTAGAAAGATACAAGCTTTTGTCGGTCCCAAAACACCACTGAGTGGAAAGAACTGGGCCAACATGTGACCGATCAGGTAAGGAATACTGCCAAAAAAAAGATCCACCTGCGATCCGTGTGAGCCGCTCACCGCCTTTCCTAGTTTCATTGATGGCTTTTCCACGAAGGGCTTAGTAAATCGAAAAAAGTAGAGGTGTTCCTAACCTGATATGAGGCGTCATCCGGCCATGTGAGTGCGACACCACCGATCACACAAGCCAGGTAGTGATGAGCCACCCACCAGGATCCTAACCTGAACATCGATTTATTACCGCGAGCAGGCTTCGTTTTCGAAAGAAAAAAATGTGCCTACTTGGAGCCGTTGATAATCAGGATGCTCTCTCGAATCGTCAGAGTACAGTAATACCATACCATTAAGAAGTGGCAAATGGAATCCATAGGCCTGAAAATGAATGGATTGTTAGCTAACAGTAATAATACCACCAAAACTTTTGAAGTAGGGGGAGATAAAAGGGTGAAAAAACGGTAAAAAACGAAGGTGATTATGCTAGAAAATTGTTGAGGCCAAAAAGGGCGAGGGACGTCGTTCACCAAGATTGCAATCCTGGAATCAAACCTCGAACTAACTTTCGACTCAGGTAACCTTTCCATCCTGCCGAGGTTGTCTAACTAGTACCAACTTTGCCAAGAAACATGGTAAAGCACTGACTTGTATACCTACTTATCCACTCCCCCCCCCTCCTCCTCCTCCAGGCCCCACACCTTCCCCCAAAAAATACTGGCGAATGATGTTCGTGATAGTATGCGGGAATCATGAACACAGATCTTCTCCTATAGAAGCCGTGGGAAACGGGTGTGGAGCATTACTTTCTAATCGCGACGAGTGCGGCGAAATAGGGTCTGCAAACGGGGTGACGTTCAGCACTCCCACCAAGATCCCACCTAGTCAGCATGGTAGCAGCGATGGGCGTTGGCTCCCTCCCAACTCATCACGCACTACGATCCCGCTACTGAGAAATAACGCTTCACGCCCATCAGAAGTAGCGTCCTGGGTTCCGGACAGTTCTAATATGTCATGCAAATTGTGAGCACTTGTAATTCATCTCATATATTTCTATACTGCTGAAGTGTGTCCCATTTGGTGATGTAAGATGCATAACGAGGGTGGGGCGGACCTCTTCAGCAGACAATGAACATGGCACGCCGCGCAGCGGCGATACGGGGGCGCAAGGGGCGGCCCCTACGGCGGGTGAAGGACCGAGGCCCATAGCACACCGGAGGAGCCGAGAACAACGCATAAAGGCAAGGGTAGGACGGGCACAGCCAAGCGAACCGTACTGGAAGCGAAGAAAGATGCAGGGATAGCCCCGCACGGAAGAGCGAGGTGTCGGAGCCGAAAAAGAGGGTGAGTGCGCATGGGGAAAGGGCGCGCGGTGCAGTGTGGTCTGTGACGGCGTGAGAAACTAATAGTACGCGAGTAAGCCAAGGGGGCACGGTAGGAATGAAGTAGTACGGAAAGATGACGAGGGTGCGCGCCGGAGGCTGGAAGAGGGGCCAAGAGCGGCGGGAGAGGATGGACGCGCAGGAATGTAGAAGGGGGGTAGAGAGAGTGAACGATAAAAGGAGTCCATGACGAATTCAAGCAGGTAATTTCTGTTTGGTTTAATTTTTGTTTTGTTTTTTTAATTTTAATTTGTGTGAGTGTAGGAAGCATAAGGAAGAGGTCATTATGTTACCACTCGATTTCGGCGAAGTGGCAAGAAACTACACGGTGACAATCAGCCCCTGCATAATTGCAGACCGATAATAGATAGCAGTTGATCTCGCTCTTGTTTGGTTACTTCCTCTCGTTCACTTTGGAGACTGAGTAATTAACGAAAAACAACTGGGAGCAGAAGAGGAGGTGCTCGTGATGTTTTCACTCGCGAGACAAACTACGACGAGATCGGAGCCTAGTATTCCTCTCTGATAGATCCCCCCCCCACTGGTACCATACCTGCTTGAAAGGGGGAGAACATTGACTTACGGAAGCATTTCTCGAGTTTGAATCGTAGGCAGTGAACGAACGAACGTGAGACCATAAAGTAACTCAAGACTGAAGAAAAAGCAGAAAATAGTGCAGGGAAAGCTCTGGAGGGCGGAAGAAATAGTGCAGTGCTAGCCTTTGAAGGACAAAAGGGCGCAGAGAACAAGCTCATTTGGCCATAGTAAGGCGTGCGCTTGGTCGCACAACATGTTGCGTGCGAGCTTCGCCTGGGAGTGGGGAACAGCATCCAGCTGTCACTACCTTCCAGCCTCATTCTGCACTTTGAAGTGACGGAAGTGGTGCACTTTCAAACCTGCGGACCCTCCCATCGCATATAACAGGGATCAAGATCCTCGAAGATGAACGTATAGCGTTTTCTTGAGGAATTCATATCGAAGATAGTTCCCATTTGGCTTCTGGGAAAGGGACCTATTGAGGAACATTTTCCAATACCCCGTGATGGCTCCTTAATTGAGAAAACCGGTAACCATAGCATGAAACCCACAACTTAATACCTTTCCACCCGTACCTAGTCCTTACGAATCTTGAATTCATTTTCGTACGCAAACCTAAGTCATCTGAGTAAACCAACCCATTGTTCGTCTTCTTTTTCGTTTCCGCCTCTTGCTTCTTTCCTTCTCGTCCGCAGTAATTACATCGTTTTGTAGGATCCACAAATTGCACTGCTGGTTTCTCTCTTCTGTTGCTGAATTTAGTTCATTAACAATCCTCCTCA